TCAGCAGAGCCCAAGTCCAGCAGCATGGGCAGGTTCTGAGGGTCTGAGAAAATATGGGGAGCTACAAAGCAGCAGCTGTGGTGGGAGGCAGGAAGCAGGTGCTGGGCACAGAGCAGCTCTCTCCACCCAAAATGAGCAGCTCTGACTAACAGGGAGAAGCCACTATGGTCAGGGAAGGTGGTGACAACTTTTGTTGGGCTTTTTACTCCCATGTCCAGCTGGGGAACTTCCCCAGCATGACAAATGCAGTGATAGAACTGAGGGGTTTGACTGAAGAATGAGGGACTAACCCAGCTTCAGGTGGTTCCCAGGCTGTGTTTGCTGAGATGGAGGTTGTCATATCTATGTTCTGGTTCTACCAGGAGGACAAGATATGACTCAGCATGAAACAAAAGCTCATGGGCTCCTCCAGCTGCAAGAACTTGCCCTTAAAATGCAGGTACCCAAGCAAAAATCAATCAAGATTAAATAAAGCCCCATGGCTTTGAGAAAGTCATTTACTACATGAAGCAAAGCCCAGTTCTCCAGGCAGGGGACTCAACCTTGGCTTAGATGTTTGAGTCTCCAGTTCCCAGTCCCACCCTTGCTCCAAATTCAAATAAACATAGGTGAGACATGAGGAGGAAATTCTTTGGTGTGAGGGTGGTGAGAGCCTGGCCCAGGTTGCCCAGGGAAGCTGTGGCTGCCCCATCCCTGGCAGTGTTGAAGGGCAGGTTGGATGGGGCTTGGAGCAGCCTGGGCTGGTGGGAGGTGTCCCTGCCCATGCAGGGGGTTGGGACTGGATGATCTTTAAGGTCCCTTCCAACCCAAACCAGTCTGGGATTCTGGGATTCCAACTCATGAGCTCTGGCACCCACCTCAGGCAACCGGTAAAGCTTCATGGTACGTTGCATAGTCATGTTCCTGCTCAGGTGGGAAAATTTGACCTCAATGAGCTTCCGAGGGTTCAGGGAGCGGTGCCAGTACCTGTGGAAACACACTGGTGGTGGGAGGCTTGTCCTGAAGCAGCAGGAGGGCTGGTGGGCATGGGGTTCTGGGAGCTGCCATGGGAGGGCAAGAGAGACCAGCACTCCAAAGTGGCCAGCAAGGAACAACAAAGGTGGCTTGAAGGGCTTGTGCTGTGGAAAGTCCTGCCTTGTGGCACATGCAGGGGGGTGGAACCAGATGATCTTCCAGGTCCCTTCCAACCCAAACCATTCTATGATTCCATGAGCAGCTTAAGCAAAGCTATGGAGCTTCATCCTGGCAGGATGGTGAGAGGAAGAGAAACCTGGGCTGGAATCAATCCCTCCTGTCCCAGGGAATCCCACACGCTCTACACGACCACAGCAGGGATCCCAGGCAGGGAAAATCTGCAGACCAAGATCTCTATGGAGAACTACAGGAACTCACCTGCAAGTCCCCACAGGCTTGGGCAGCACCACCCCTGCTGTGTACACAGCCTGGAAGATCCCCTCCAGGTGAACCCGCCGCGTGATCTCGCGGATCAGGACCGGAGCCACCCGCTTGGAGCGCAGCTTCTTGTGGACACACAGGAAGTTTATCTCCACCATCTTCTTCTCTCTGGGGAAAGAAAGAAGGCTGAGGATGAGACTCAGCTGGCCTGGAAAAGTCAGTCTGACACCCTGGGCAGCTCTGAAGTCCTCAACACAAGGAGGACATGGAGATGTTGGACAGAGTCCAGAGGAGGCCATGGAGATGCTGGGAGGGCTGGAGCAGCTCTGGGACAGGCTGGGAGAGTTGGGGTGTTCAGCCTGGAGAAGAGAAGGCTCCAGGGAGACCTTAGAGCAGCTTCCAGTGCCTGAAGGGGCTCCAGGAAAGCTGGGGAGGGGCTTTGGACAACAGCAGGGAGGGATGGGATGAGGGGAATGGTCTTTAACTAGAGCAGGGGAGATTTAGATCAGAGATCAGGAAGTTCATTCCCAGGAGGCTGCCCAGAGAGGTGTTGGAGGCCCCATCCCTGGAGATATTAAAAGTCAGGCTTGATGGGGCTCTGAGCAACCTGATTTAGTTCGAGAGGTCCCTGAGCACTGCCAGGGGGCTGGACTAGATGACCTTTAAGGGTCCCTTCCAAATCCACCTGTTCTATGAGTTACCTCCAGCCCCTTTAAGAGAAAGAGGAGTCAAAGCCTCGGGGAAGGCCGAGGGGCAAGGGCTGGGTTTGGAGAACTCTCCTTTCAGCTGTTACCCAAGGTTTTTCCAGGGAAAATGGTGTCCATCCAGCTCTGGAGGACTTCTGTAAGACAGAGCTCTAAGCTGACCTCCCTTGGTGAGGAAAACAGCCCTCACAGCTGCTGACTACAAGAGGTCCCAGAACCTCAGCGCCCACCCGAAAAACCCCCACCTTCTCCTCCAAGAGACAAATCATCTCCTGGGCAGGTCATGGAGCTCTGGTGGTCACGGAGGACCATGTGGTCAGAGCTCCTCAGAGCTCCCAGAACACCTCCCAGCCAGCAAGGTGAGCCATGGCTGAGCAGCACTCACGTGTCGTAGATGTGGATGGTGGCCGGAATTGCGCTGATAAATCCAACCAGCTTCTTGCTGGAGACAACCCTGACCCCACAGTGCCACTGGGGCAACCAGCCTGGGGGACGCAGGGCCCTGGAGAAGACACACACTTCAGAGGTCACGTCCCACCAGAGGTCCCCCATGTCCCCCCGTGCTGCCCTGGGACACCCCGTGTCCTGCTCCACCCGCCTGACATCGCCGTGGGTTTGCAGGGCGAGGGGGACAAGGCAGGACCACTGGGATCCAGGGCAAGTCCTGCTCTCTGTGGCCAAGGGGAGTTTCCACTGGTGACACAGGAGGAAAATCATGTTCCTCGAGTTGTGAACGCCCTGAGGAAACAGCAGCTCTGATGCAACAGATCTCCAAGTCCTACTGCTGGCACAGTCACTTGGCAGCGCCTTGTCCTACAGCCCCGGGACACCAGGAAGCTCCTCAGCTCCTGGGATTGCTACAGACACTCCAGGGTTCAAATTAAATTTAGGTTAGACCTTAGGAAGAAGTTCTTCAGCATGAGGGTGGTGAGACACTAGCACAGGTTGCCCAGGGAAGCTGTGGCTGCCCCATCCCTGGCAGTGTTGAAGGGCAGGTTGGATGGGGCTTGGAGCAGCCTGGGCTGGTGGGAGGTGTCCCTGCCCATGCAGGGGGTTGGAACTAGATGATCTTGAAGGTGCCTCCAACCCAAACCAGTCTGGGATTCCATGAAAAGAGGAAAAAAACATCTCTTTTTATTCTCCCACAACCCAAAGAAGCCCAAGGCAGGGTGGACTGGGCAAGAGACCCCTCTGTGGGACACCACACCCGCCTCGTGACAGATGGGGAAGGGAGGTGTTGGAAAGAAGTGAGAGGATCATCTGAGGAGGCTGCAGAGCTGTCACTGGGACCAGCAGCATCCCCACCCCACTCACCACAGCAGGAACTCGGGGGAGTAGTCGAAGCGGAACATGTTGTCGTCGTCCTCCACGTAGTTCTCGTTCAGGAGCGTGTACAGCTCCTTCAGC